GAGCTATCTGATTTATACACTGAAATTTTAAAAAAGGTTAAACTCACATTCTGGTGAAAATAATCAGAAAGGTTCAAAGTCAGGGAGAGAGATAACCTTGAGGAAAGTGGAGGTACGTATTTTTATGCGAAGCAATAGAAATTTCTGGGTTACTACAAAATTTTCTTTCTTCACCTTGCTGCACTTCTAGGAGGGGTGTATATCTATGTATTACTATTAATATTATTAATATATATTATTATTCATTTAAAAGATGAAATAAAGATATTTTTTCATCAAGAAGTACAAATTGTGGCCAGAGAGATAGTATAGGGATTTAGGCACTTGCCCTTGCCTTGCATGTAGTTGACGCTGGTTTGATCCCTGGAACTGCATATGGTCCACTGAGCACATGGTCCCTGAGCACAGAGACATGAGTTGGGTGTGCCCCTCCTAAAAAAAACTCTTCCCCAAAGTACAAACTTCCAGCTACCAAAATAAATCAAGTCAACATATACCATGAAAACTATAATCAATGCAGTTTCACAAGTTTGGAAGTTACTAAGATGAAAAATATTATTCAGAAAACTGCAAACATTCAAGATTATTCGGTTCATACTCCAGAAAGTCCCTCTCCAGCTAAATATGTCATACAATGGTTCAACAGACTTTAAATGTCTCCAAGCTAAAAAACTGGAGAAAACATTTTCTTTACACGATCCTTACTAAAGAAACTCAATATACTTCAGAAATAAAAATTTTGAGTACTTGCCTATCTCTAATTATTTATACAAATAGTGAAAGCAAGGCTGAAATTAAAAAACACTGCACTGTTACCAGAGAATAGCAAATAATTGTTTAGAACAGAATCCAGAGATTTCTCCCATGCTTGCCTATATTTAAGATATGCATATATATGTGTATATATATAATAAACAATATCTATCAACCTTACAATAATCCAGTAAAAAGATTCAAAGAGGGGCTGGAGCGATAGCACAGCGGTAGGGTGTTTGCCTTGCATGCAGCCAACACGGCCGACCCAAGTTCGATTCCTCCGCCCCTCTCGGAGAGCCCAGCAAGCTGCCGAGAGTATCTCGCCCGCACGGCAGAGCCTGGCAAGCTCCCCGTGACGTATTCGATATGCCAAACACAGTAACAACAAAGTCTCCAATGGAGACGTTACTGGGCCCGCTCGAGCAAATCGATGATCAACGAGAGGGCCTTTATTTTTTTTATTTCTCAAAATGTTTTAGATACATGTCAAACTACTGAAACAAGCAAAGAACCACTTAATAACCAGAGAGTAAAATCAACAATTCAAAAATCTTCAAACCTGAAAACTTTTTTAATAATTCAGGAACAAAAGTCATTTTCATTTCATTATAATGGCATGTTTATTGGTAATTACATATATGGTATTGATTATGTGAAGCTGCCCCAGACTTACTCAGGATGAATCATTTCCCAAAGATTGTAGAGAAAGAAAAGCCAGCCTTTAATTTTCACTACATATTATTTACTAAGTGCTAAGTACTACTCGATATTACTAATTCTGTCATCAATCCAGTAAATTTGATCATGCCCATGATTATCCAGAATGTACCAAATAGCAGAGGATATATTTAAATACATGCTTTTCCAAGTGGAAAAGAACACTGAAAATGAAACTCCTAAAGACAATGTAGGGAGTACGACTGTAAAAAGATTTGAAAAAAATTTAGTATTTCCTTCTTCCACCTTCTAGAAGCACCAATTAGTCTTTTATATAAACAACTTACAAAACACAACTGTCCCAAAGACAGTACTCTACAAGTAAAATATACCTTCTATGTTTTTACATATATACCATTTTTAAGCAACCAAAATTTTCTGTAATTCTGATTCTGCCAGCTAACCATGCTGAGCCAGAAGCAAATCCTCAGCACAATTGGGTATGGCTCAAACTGTACAACTCCACTCCCCCCACCCAAATAATTACTTCCAATCTGATGAGAACTTAACGTATTGCTCTTCATCGAAGACCTAAATTTTAAAATCAGTTATTAGTAAGACAGTTTTCCACTTAAGTTCAACATTGAATAAATGGATAAATTCATTGCATAGATCTGAACTGTCTTTTTCACTGAATCAATTCCCCAAAAGGGAATTGAATGATTGAATAACCATATCATATCAACCATACCATATCAAATGGAATTAAGTCAAACTCAACAACTGAATATTAAGCTATCCCTCCAAAACACATAGGTAAACTATTCCCTGCCTCAGTAGTTATCAAATAAAAGCAAATATAAATATCAGTTCAACCTTTCAAATTAGCAGCAATTTTAAGAGAGACAATTTAGTGCTAGTGAGATACTTAAATAGGTTTTTACACATGCTGCAAGTGGAAATGAAATAAAATTAACAGTAGTTTATTACCACTAGTCCCACTTTAATAATGAAGAAACTAAGGCACAAACACATTAGGCAGATTACTTTAAAGTCACATCTCTAGAAGAGGTTGAAAAGAAACTTAAGTAGGCAGCCTGACTCCAGTCAGTTCTCTGACCTAGGTACTTTACTGATTTTATTCTATACAGACTTAAATTTTTAAAATGCATCAAAAATATCTAGAAAACAAAATGAAAGAATAAACATACAAGATAAAAAATATTCACAATGTGTGGAACATTTTTTTTTGGCACACTTTAAAGAAATGCCTCCTGATATTTTCTAATATTCAATAAAAGCACTGGTAAAGCTAAAACAGGCATGTGGATGCATTTTTTTGTTGAAGACAAAAAAATGGCACAATTTTGAGGGAAGTTGGAATTTCAAATGTACTAATTTTAATAATTCTATGTTTTAGAAATTGGTCCCACAGAGAAGTAACGTAGCACAAAAAGAATTTGTTTAGAAACTATTATAACATCATACTACTTAAAATGAAGCAGATTTGCATTAATAAGAGGTCTATAAATACTTAAAATGGGAAAAAAGCTAGCTACAGGGAAAAACGTAGATGCCTTTTTTAGTTATATAAAGAAAAGTTTAACTTGGAGAGTAATGGCATTTTTATACGCAAATGTGTTAAAAAAAAAAGTTTTTGTTTGTTTTTGGGCTAAACCCAGTATGCTCAGGAGACCATATGTGGAGCCAGGGAACAAATCAGGGTCAGAAGTGTGCAAGGTAAGTGCCTTAAACTTTGCACTACTCCCGGTATTTAAAATGTATTTTATTTAAGATATATTTAAAATGTTTTATTTAATTAAAACAATCTGATTGCAATGTTTTACTTAACTAAAAGAATCTAACATGACCAATAAGATATATATATTTTTTTAATTTTTATGATGAGATCCTGAGTGATAGTAAAGAACTTGCTTTGCATGCAGCTGACCCGAATTCTGTCCCTGGTATACCTGGTATACCCTGGTATATCCTGGTATACCCTGGTATACTCTGAGCCTGCTAGGAGTGACTGAGTGCAGAGGAGTAATCCCTGAGTATCGCCAGGTGTGGTCCAAAAACCAACCAAAACCAACAAACAAAAACACCACACACCCACACCCATACTTTTATGCTAAGGATGCAATTATTCTCATAATTGCTTCAGTATACCAATTCCTTTCTACATTAATCCGCTACTAAGAAGATATTTTATTAAAATAGTAATTGTGCTAATTAGTATTAATTTAGTAAGACTAATAAAGTAAAGATCGTAACTCTACCACTGTAGGCTCCATTTTATAGATATGAAAGAAGAAACTTAATTAATGTCTTTTTGTGCGCTATTCTGCTAATCTTGGAAGAACACTATAAAAATTAAAGCCAAATTAATCTAAATTAATAAGAGGAATAATGCAAGAAGACTGATTTGCCATTTCAGAGACCTGAGGTATTCCAAAATAATAGTGTAGGACTTGTTCATTTGAAATACCCTATTGCTGTACTATCTCCCTGGTCCTGAGACTAACTGCTTTTTAGTGCTAAGAATTAAAATCTGATCACAATCATTTAACATGATTTTCTTCATAAAATACACTACAATTTATATATAAGAAATTACAAACCAAATCACTTAAATTTTAAACAAATAATTTCAATTTCAAAAAATGCCACCAGCACCATTCAAAGTACACAAAGTAAATTTATTTCAAATTTGATACCTTAATTTTGGAAGTCACTCAGGGAAAAGAAAACAACCTTTATAAATATTTATTTTCAGATATAATGCTATCTTCTAATATATCTTGTAAAAGTGGGAGATTTATTAGTATACTAATTCTGGTGACTTTATCTTTTCCAACTATGGAGTTGTAAAAAAGGAAAGGAACTTAAGAGTTTGGTTAGGTTCAGTAAAAGGAATTTATGGGAACACAGGAAAAAGGAAAATAAAAGAATTAATTTCCTAGGGGTCTTAACAGGTTCTAACAGCAAAAAAGGAATTCATTCAGTTTTTAAATTCTAAAATCCAAAATCTTCAAGTTGGAAAAATATAGTTGGCTACTTAATAATACTTTATTCTTTTTTATACCAATAGGGCTTTTAGGCCAACGCTTGCAGGAAATAGCAAAGTAATTTGTTTTAGTATCTCTACTCACAGATGCACTACACAGTCAATGTCTTCAGAGATTTTTCCACCCTCTCCCCACTGGTTTTCAAATACAATCTTATTTGGAACACCAATGTAGAGAATGATAAAAAATCAAGCTCTCTGTTTCAAACACTACAGGTTTCTGTTTTGAATACTTTGTGCCCTAAACTTCCTAATCAACAAGATTTCTTAGATCCCAAAACAGAAACAGACAGACAGACACAGACACACACAGACACACTACAATTCAGAATAGAATTGAAAGAAAGTTACCATACGTTTCTCAATATTTATTTTCAATTTGTGCAATTTTCTTGACATGAAAATAGTTCACAGACTGCTTTTGGTAACAACACACTGCAGCAAACCAAACCAAACCAAACCTATTCTAACATAACCAAATCAGAAAGTCTGACACATTAAGAAGTTAGAAACTTACTTCTTATCAAAAAATGTTGAATTCTCTTTTCTTTTCGTGAATCCGTTTGGCAGAAGTTTTAAGTTAATACCTTGCTTTCGGGCCCGATTTTTCAAAAAGTACATCTAACAACCGAAAACAAACATTTTTAGAAAGCCTTAAATTTCAAGTGCATTATAATCAATAATTGTAAGATGCATTAAGTGCTTTTGTCTCACACTTTGCTCTGTGGTGTTATTTTGTTTATTCTCTACAATACTATGAGATAGGTACTATTAATAAATCATTTTAGGAATGAGGAGCTGGAACGATAGTTTAGAGGGTGCTTGCCTCACACGTGGCTGACCTGGGTTTGATCCCCAGCATAGCATACAGTCCCCAGAGCACCACTGGTAGTTAATTCCTAGGGCGAGGAATAACCTGAGCATCACTGGACATGGCCCCCAAACAAAACAAAACCATTTTAGAAATGATAACGAATATTATGCCAATACTAGATAGCTATTTTTGAGAGGTAGACCATGGTAAAAATCTTAATCTACCTAATTGTAGAGCCTGTGCTTTAACCATTTACTCTAGGGGGCTCAGGGACAAAGGTGGTAAGAGCAGCAAAGGGCAGAGGTGGCCACATAATGGTGCAGTTGGAGATGATTAGTACTGTGGTGGTGGGTATGTTATGATACCAACTTTTGAAGACATCTGAACCTATGTCCTTAAAACAGTGCTATAAACTGCTACAAAAATAAATCATCCATAACTGATCTTTTTGAGTGGAAATCTAGAATTTAAAAGACAAAATGTCATTGTAGTCATAAGCCAAAGAAGAAACGTTTTGCTAGCTAGTAAAACGTAAGCAATTGCATGTAACTTTGTAGCTATGAAACTTTAGTTTCAGTAATGCCACTGATTATAAGAACCAAACCTACAAGAGAAAAGAATGCCAGCTAGTAAGGGAAATATATATGTGATAAAATACTCTTAAACCCTCTTGAAAACATGATGGTTGACAGAAACAGAAAAATATAAACCAACATTTAATGAGACGTGAAAACTCAAAAGGAAAGTAAAGCAGTGAAGTCACTATTGTTAATTTTGCCTTCAACAGCTTCGTCAGAGTTGTTAGGAGTCCTCAAATATTGAGTCACAGAATAGTATATTCTCATACTAAAAGTAAACTCCCCCAGTGGCCCCAAATGCCCATTAGAGCCAAAACTTGCTAAGAAATTTGTACCGATGTAACTGTGGTGTGAGAGTGTCCCAGAAGAAGTTGTAACCATGGACCAGCCCCCTAAATTAGATTTGAAATGATTTGGCTGTGCTTATCTGGTTAAAGAAATCTTATTTGTGGGGTGGGGAGTGCACCTGACTTTACTCAGGGCTTACTCCTGGTTCTATGCTCAAGAATTAGTCCTGGAGGTGCTCATGGATTCACTATATGGTGAAGAGAGATAGCCACATGCGACGTAAGCACCTTACCTGCTATACTATCTCTCTGGCCCTTACTTAAGGGACTAATATCTTCAAGTACACAATAAGTCCAGATTTGAAATTTTATCATGCATCTGGTAGAATAAATCAAATTATTTCCAAAAGAGCATGTGTTTGTCCTAATCCTCAAAAAAATTCTCACACATAAATCTACTAAATAGGAAAAAAATAGATGGTTAACACAGAAAGAATCAGATTCCAGATCTGCAAAATGGATGAAAATTTCCCCACACTATAAGATATTCTAAAGACACCCAACAATTTTCAAATAAGATGAGGAAAAAGAAATGTGCATTTCATATTAACGAAAGACAAAAAGAATGTAGAGAAAAAATTTCAAAGGCTTTTATTGCAAGCTATTTTATAGTTTACTACTGCAAAGTATAAAGTAGAATTTGCAGTAACAATGGAAGCTGGAAGATAACAACAATTCTTTTTTTTTTCTGGTTTCTCTTTTTGGCCACTGGTGATGTTCCGGACTTACTCCTGGCTCTGTGCTCAGGGATCACTCCTGGAAGGTTCAGTGGACCATATGGAATGACAGGTATCAAACCTGGGTCAGCTATGTGTAAGGAAAACACCCTACCTGCTCTACTATCTTTCTGGCCCCAAGATAACAGAACAATCCTGAGTTGAGTCCTAGACTGAACAAAAATGAAGACTGAGAATGAATAAAAATTCAAACAAAAACTCACTATTCTAAAGGTTGCCAACCAGCGAATAGATTCATAAAACTGAAGGAGAGGGTTGCAACAAGTCTGACAAAAATGAAAGAATTCTGAACCAAAAAGAAATAACTTCAAAGTCAACAGGGTAGAGGATCCATGATGTTTCCTGTCAGCACTGTGCCTGTGTTGCATTTCATAGCAAAAAACAAGTCTAGAATGGAAAAAGTTTAAGAAGACCTGTTCTAATGGATGTGTACTTGAGGCAGAATGAAATCTCTCAAATATAAGGTCTAAGATAATGACAGAAGGAATACAGAGCAAGGGAAATGGGAAAATGACAATAACATACTGACTTGATAACACTGCGAGATTTAAAACAGACAATTCATGAGCTGGAGAGACTTCAATAGGTTAGGTGTGTGCCTTGCATAGAGAAAGCCCAGGTTTGCTCTCCAACAATGCATGGTCCCCTCAAACACTGCCAGGAATGACTATTGAGCAGACAGAGTAGCCGCCGAGTGCTACCATGTGTGCTCCCCAAATAAAAAATACACACAATAGAGGGTTAAATTTCATTAAACAATCTAAGGTAATCCAAGCAAACCCGGTCAAATCTTGCCTCCTGGCTATTTTTGTTTTTGAGCCACACCGGGGAGTGCTCAGAGCTTACTTTTGATCTGGACTAAGGAATCACTCCTCCAAGTGCTCAGGGGACCAAAAGGGGTGCTGGGTAGTGAATCAGGGTCAGCAGCACAAAGTGCCTTATCCACTGTACCATTTCTCCACTCTGTACTGATGGGCTATTTTTATAAATAAATTTTACTAAAGAGCTTGCCCCTTTATTATTTACAGACTATTGGACCACAGCAGTATCCTTTGGACTGAGGAATCTTTCCAGCCATAGTTCCTTCCTATGACCAGCTGACCCCAATTCTGTGTTGTGGTCTCCTGTTTACACTATTTCCACTCGTGACACCTTCGGAATGTCTTAGAGGCCCATAGAGGGCACATGACCCCTAACTGAGAAACAAGTACTCTAGATCACTATAGCAACTTTTGTTAAACAAAAAGATATTAATCTACTGATTAGTAAAAGGAATTATAGCGAAAAGGAATTAGAATACTTACATGTTTATTGCTTATTGGCCTTTTTAAGAAAGCATCTCTAGAAATATGATCTGCTGTTCTTGCCACATCTTCTAAAAACCTATAATCTAAAAAGTCAGAACATTAAACAATTAATAAATGACAACAGCCAATGACTATGAAGTATCAATATGTATAAGTATCAATATCAGCATATATATATACATATATATATATATATATAAAACATGGCTTACCACTTAGGAGGTTCATTTCTGTGAATTGTTGTATTGAAACATAAGCAGTTTTATCCCGAATTCCATTACATGTTAATTCTGCTTTGTGTTTCTTTACACAGGGCAAACTGAAAGACAAAGAAATGCACTTATACTGTGAAGTGTAATGGTACACATGGAGGCAAAAAGGTAAGACATTGCCAATATACCTGCAGGAATATCTCATACAACGTGGACATCTGTACTTTGCTTCTTCTGTACCACAAGTTTCACACCTACAAAAGTCCACATGAAATTGAGTCCACATGTTATTTTTACATTGAAATGCTGATCAATCACCACAATCAACTCATAGGCAAGAAGTCATATAGAATAAAGTACATGCAAATAATTCTAAAAATAGATGCTAAACATTAAAAAAATTCTCAAGAAATCATTCCCAAATAACAACTACATTTAAAATATTACAAATGATATCTAATTCAAGAGAAATAGCACAGTAAAAAAAAAATCCTTTCACTTTTTAATGTTTTCTCCTATAATCAGGAAACTAATGATTATTCACTGATCCTGGTAATTCCTGGTCATGGGCCAACAAGAGCAAGTTTGCATACATCCCAAATCCAATCTCTGAGCTATGTCTAAGTATCTTAAAAGACACACAAGTGAAAAACTGAAGACCCAAATTTACAACTTAGAAGTCTCCGCGTTTTCCAACACCACACATAACCTAGAACGGGTATCAACATTTTACTTATCAGCCGCTCTCCCTCTTCATCTACCTTAAGATCTTGGGATACAGACAACGAAATCATAGCTATCTTCTATCTGGCCCCTTGTGTTCTGGACAGTCACGCCCCAAGACCATAACAAGGTGTGACATGATCATACGCTACAAGCAAATTAAAGTAAAGGCAATTAGCTATCAATAGCATCAATTGGCTAGATTAGTGAACCTCTAATTTTAACCTAATTGTTACTGTAGGTTTTATTAACCTATTTATCATTTGTTAGATGACGACCTCAGCTCCATTCACTGTGCAAGACAAGTGCTCTACCTGCTGTACTATCTCTCTGGCCCTAAAAGAGGTTTCTTTTTCTTCACATCCCTGACAACTATTGAGGGGACAGCACACTGTCATCGAAGTCTAGTTGCAAAGGTTTTCTGGCGCCCAGCATTTTTACTGCCACGCGCCCATGGGACGTCTCCAACCCCCTAAGTCTCACGGAATTCAAGTCACTGAACAGCATCTGCCATTCCCACATCCCGCCCCCCCAAAACGAACCCACTGCCATTCCGCCACGCCCCGCCGGTGGTGCAGTTTCTCCCACCCAGGAGTCGAGCGCGCCGCGGGTTACACCCTACCTGGACATGGCCAGCTTCCTCTTGGCACCCACCGCCTTGGCCGTCGCATCCCGCACCGCCTCCTCCTCCGGGAGAGCCAGCTGGGCTTCCACACACGTTCCCCGCCGCTGCTGCCCTTCCGCGTCCCGACCCGCCGACAGCTCCTCGGGCTTCATTTCCAGCTTCTCCTTCCTCTCGTCCAGCTCTGCTGCGCGCCAGCCCCCGGCCTCTTCCTCCGCCGTCACTTTTGCTGCCGGGACCTCTAGCTGGCCCGCCTTCTCCTCTCGGACCACCACGCTCCGCTCCCGCCTCGCCTCCCAAGCGCCCGGCTTCTCCTCCATCCCCTCCGGCGTCACCCCCTGGCCACCCAGCGGGCCTGCTTCCATTTCCGGCCAGTCCCTAACTTCTCGCTTCACGCCCCCTCTCATAGCCTCTGCTCCCGGCCCACCTCCTTCCTCTCCATCACCTGTCGCCTGCATCCCGCCCGCCAGCTCCATCCCGGCAGCGTGCCCGACCCCCTCCCCAACAGGCCGGGGACTCGGCGGCGCTCCCTCAGCTCCAGCGGACACAGCTCCGCCTGGCGTCCCTTCATTTTCAGCGACTAGATCCATCCCTTCACCACTCTGGGACTCCGGGGCCCAGGAGTTTTTCAGCCGACAAGAATGAATGAATGAATGAACCTCCCACAACACAGACAGCGCTCCACGTGCGGGAGCAGACGTCTCAGCTGGCGAACGCCGGGTTCCCGTCGCAAGGCTCCCACGCGGTCGTAAAGCTACGCTTCCGCGCCTGGCCGCTTTCACGACGCAAGTGCTCTTTACGGCTCCGCGGTGGTCAGGCCCGGTGGGCGGGGAAAGTTGGTTCGAGACCACGCCCACTGTGACTCCTGCCGACTTCCGGGGCGCCGCTCCGCGAAATCTTTCCTCCCGGCCCCGCCCCCGGCCGGCCCGCTGGTCTGGGGAAGGGGCCTGAGAACCCAGGAAGCAGGGCGAAGTGAAAATTTAATCCTAGAGGGGGAATTATTAATTCTGATCCTTATTAACGATGAAACCTAATCTCTTTAAAAAAAAAAAAGTCCTCCAGAAGCTTTAGCTTCTTCCCAGTGCATTAAAGAAGCTGGTTTAAATACTGTTGGAGGGAAGTGGCCACGGGTGGTGGAATCTGTGCTGGAACACAGAATAGCTAAAACTCAATTCTAAAAACTTTGTAAATCACTGTGCTTTGATAATTTTTTTTAAAAAAAAAACTGGTTTTTACAAGTCCTAGTGTTATTCTGATGGAAATCAGCTGTGGCTGAAACTTTTTTTTTCCTTTTTGGGTCACACCCAGCGATGCACGGGGGTTACCCCTGGCTCATGCACTCAGAAATTATCCCTTTACCCTTCATGGTGCTTGGGGGACTGGGATACCGGGAATCGAACCCTGGTCGGCCGCGTGCAAGGTAACCGCCCTACTTGCTGTGCTATCACTCCAGTCCCTGAAACTTTTTTTTAAATTCATTTTGTTTCATTTTAGATTTGAGGTTTCTCTTTAAAATTTTTTTCTTTTAAGAAGATTTTTTTTTAATTGTGGTTTGAGTGACAGAGTTATAGTGGTGTTAACTTTCATGGTTATAAAGAACAAAATTACTGCATCTTCACAATCACAAAAGTTCCTGAGACCTTCCGCCACTGTGTCACTTCAAGTCAGCCTTTTTCTAGCTCCCATCTCCCAAATCAGTTCTATAAAGAAAAGGGTCTGTCTTCATTCCTATTCCCTTGTTTTGTTTCTCTGTATACTACAGATGGTGAGATCACCCAGCACTTGTTATTCTTCCTCTGACTTACTTCACTTATCCCGATAACCCTTCAATTCCATTCAAGTTGTAGCAAACTACATTTCATCTTTTCTTAAAGTCGAGTTGTATTGCACTGTGTATATATGCCACAATGTATTTATCCATTTATCTCTTTGGACATTTGTATTGTTTATATACCCCAGCCATTGTGCATAGCACTGCAATGAAGATAAGTGTGCACATATATTTTCAATTTAATATTTTTGAGGCCTTGAAATAGATACCAAGAAATGGGGGCATGGCATCTTATGGAAGGTCTAGTCTTCATTAAAAAAAAAAAAATCTCGATACTGTTTTTCACAGTGGCTAAACCAGACCACATATACAACAACAGCAATTTCCTTCCTTCCTTCCTTCCTTCCTTCCTTCCTTCCTTCCTTCCTTCCTTCCTTCCTTCCTTCCTTCCTTCCTCTCTCCCTCCCTCCCTCCCTCCCTCCCTCCCTCCTTCCTTCCTTCCTTCCTTCCTTCCTTCCTTCCTTCCTTCCTTCCTTCCTTCCTTCCTTCCTTTCTTTTTTGGTGGGTGGGAGGGACACACCTTACAATGTTTAGGATCTGACTCTGACTGTATGCAAGACAAGTGCTCTACCTGCTGTACTATCTCTCTGCCCTAAAAGAGGCTTCATTTTTTTTCCACATCCCTGACAACAAATAATTTTTATTCTTTCAGTTTGTCAGTACCAGTCCTCACCAGACATTTCCCCATTTCCAGTATCTTACAGAATGTTAAAGGGGAGGGGTTAAATTGTATATTATTATATCTTACATGTATAAAGAAGTTCCATGAAATTGCCAAGGAATTCCCATCTAAATTCTTTCCCTCCTATTCCACCTCTGTATAGTGGCTGGACAAGCCCAGCTTCTCTGACATAGGCAGCATTGTCATCTCAAATTTAATTTTGTTTGGGTATGTTGGGATGTGTGGTAAACTGGGTCATTCAAAAGATTTTGATAGAAGTTAACAGGAATCAATAGGTGTGAAAAAGGATAGGAAGTAGGAGTGACCAGAGGATACCCTTTAAAAGTGATGACATTTTCACCAACTTGTCAGGTAGATTAGTGCACATCAGGCAATTTTTACCCACACTTTATATCCAGTGCCACTCAGTGACCAGATCCAGGCTGCCCCAAAAAGTCATCACCTAGAGCAAGAGGTCTCTCTGCAGATGGAATTGATGGCTAGAGGATGCTGATGGCACTCCTACAGTTGGTAGCAAAGTGCTTCTCCAAAAGGGGACCTGGTTTGCCTACTTTACCTCTACACAGAGTCTACACAGTGTTCACATGTATGGTCACATTGGTTTCACTGAATTTAATTTATTCTTCTATAAAAGCCATTGCCTTTCTTCTTCATGTAATTCATTTAAAAATTACAGTTACTGGGACCAGGGAGATAGCAGGAAGAGCTGGAGGTCATGCCCAGCATACTCATGACCCAGGGTACAATTATAGGCATGACATGTCTATGTATTATTGTCTGCTGTTTTGGAGGTCCCTGAGCATTGTCTGTTGTGGTCATAGTGGACCTATCCAGTCCCATGTCATCAAGATTATTCAACTTATCTAGTCTTCTCACTGGGAGTGGCCCCAAATAACTTAGGGAGTGTCTTCACCCACAAAATATAGCTAGTTCTACAAGTCCCAGGAATGAAGTCAAGATTGTAAATACTATCTTTGGGTCTTAGGGATAGAATCTTACTACATTATCAAAGTAACGGAGGTGGGATTGCTTTAGTATAAATATAGTTCAGGGATGGCAGACAAGTTATGAGTTTCAAACATCACGGTCACTGTCAATGTCCTCCCGTTGTTCATCGATTTGCTCAAGCGGGCCCAGTAACGACTCCATTGTGACACTTGTTGCTGTGTTTGGCATATCGAATATGTCATGGGTAGCTTGCCAGGCTCTGCCTTGCAGGCGAGATACTCTCGGTAGCTTGCCGGGCTCTCCGAGAGAGGTGGAGGAATCGAACCTGGGTCAGCCAGGTCAGTTGTGTGCAAGGCAAATGCCCTTAAAACAAACTCAATATCAAGTTTCCAAACTACATAATGTTAAGTTTTAATATGCTTATCTTTTTCAAAATTCTGTTGGGTATTCTAAGGTGTTTATAAACATTTTAGAATTAATTTGTTGGCTGTGTGCAATGCAAACGCCCTACCGAATAGCACAGTGGGTAGGGTGGTTTACCTTGCACGTGGCCGACCTGGCCGACCCGAGTTCGATTCCTCCGCCCCTCTCAGAGAGCCTGGCAAGCTACCAAGAGTGTCTCGCCTGAACGGCAAAGCCTGGCAAGCTACCCATGATGTATTCAATATGCCAAACACAGTAACAAGTCTCACAATGGAGACGTTACTGGGCCTGCTCAAGCAAATCGATGAACAACAGGAGGACAGTGCTACAGTGCTACAGGATTAATTTATAATTTCTACAAAAAAAGTTGCTAGGATTTGGGTCAGGGAATATGTCAAAATAAGTGTACATTAATATATAAAAAATTGCACCATAATAAGATAGGGCATTTTACAATCCATGGATTTTTTTTATTGGTGCATATATATATATATTTGGATTTTTCATCGTTAGTATATAAAAATACATACTTGTAGTTTTGTTGTTGTTGTTGTTGTTATTGTTTTGGGGGCCACATCCAGCAGTACTCAGGACTTATTCCTGGTTCTGTGCTTAAGGGATCACTCCTGGCTGTGCTTTTGCTTGGGGTTCTGGGGATCAAACCACATGTAAGAAAAGGCTATTCCTGGGGCTGGAGCAATAGCACAGCGGGTAGGGCGTTTGCCTTGCACATGGCTGACCTGGGTTCAATTCCCAGCATCCCATATGGTTCCCTGAGCACCGCCAGGGGTAATTCCTGAGTGCAGAGCCAGGACTAACCCCTGTGCATTGCCAGGTGTGAACCCCCCCCCCCAAAAAAAAGACCAAGAAAAGGCTATACCTTCTCTGCCCCCTTAAATTGTCCATATTTCTCAAAAACAAATTTGTTTGATGAAATAGCACTCCTCAGGTGTGCTATTTTATCATTTTGAACAATGTCAACTTTAACTGTAATCCATATTTGGAAGAGAGTGGATGGAAACCTGAGAATTGGACTGTGATTCTTTTGGTGATTTTCATTTTTTAAGAGTAGAAGGATAAGAAAGATAGTGTATTAGTCTTAAGTTAGAAAACTTGTGATGATACAATAATACAATCTGGGTTACATTAGTCCCAATTGGCTCTTACATATTATACTCCTCTGATATTCAATTTCTACTGTATTTACCATCTCCTTTGAGGAGCTACTGTCTTCTATGGTATCACTTAGATCCTAGGGTAGAATGAAAAGAAACCACTGCTGGACTGATGGAGGATTCAACAGCTAAAGGGACCTCCCTTGCAAGTGTGAGGCGTGATTCCCGGTGCTGCCCTTATGTGCTTTACATAGTCCTGTGACTCTGTTGGCTGGGACTCCCACAGGGTGTTCAATTTCTGTCACATAGCCAGGTGTGTATAAGCACTGCAACTGATGCATGGAACTACCAGGGAGCATACCTCTGGCAAAACAAAACAAAACAACAAAACAAATACAACCCTCAGCAGGCAGGTGCAGAAGTAACACAACTAAAGTGTGTTACCTTTCTCCTCTCCCATTCCAGGCATGGCAGGTGAGTGTGTCAGCATGATAACAAGGTGTGCAACTATAGCAAGACCCACAGGCAAGTATGTGTACGCCCCAATCAAGTGTCTATGACTTTCTCTCACTGCAACAATAGCAATGAAAAGGAAGGGGTAGAGGAATTGCCAAATCCAATGTCATAAAGACTTTCTCTGTATTTCCTTTTATGAGTGTTATAGTTTCAATTATTTGAAATATTTCAAATCTTCACAAGTTTTGAATCTTGTGAGTTAATTTTGTATATAATGTAAGGGTTAAAATTCATTCATTACATAATGTACATATTACAGAATCGTTGGTAAAACCATATGCGTTTGGGCTTATTTCTGTGTTTTGAACTCATTTTGTACAAACAACAAGCAGGCTATGTGATCCTCATATAAGTATGAATCAGATACTTTCTAGCTATGTAAAGGTGTGAAGTACAGATTGGCTATGCCAGAAGGCCAACGGCATATAATTAAAGGACATGGTAATAAGAAGAAAAAGACCACTGAAAAAGATTCATAGTTCATTTTTATTATACATGAGTAACTGTTTTGCTGTGGTTAAGTATATGTTTTTAATGGTTGTACAAGCTTTTCTATATACCAAAAGGTATACTATGTTTCTTTTAATATTAACAGTTCTCTGACAACAAGAAAAGACTGAACTAAGACTAGTTTAAAAGGCAAAAGACTCTTTTGTTTTTCTGGATGTTAAAAACTGCTTTTACATCCTAATATAAAATTTAAGAACAGCAAAGAAATTGACTAACAACACATAATTTCTATAAAGCAGAAAATAAAGATTTTATAATTTAAAACAGCAGCAATTTTAAAGGACATGCTGAATTAAAACTTTACAAAATATATACACACAAAGTATCATTCCAGATGATCATGATTTTTAAAAAACAGTATATCACAACTGCAAATTCTAACCCATACCCACTACTAGATGTAGCCGGCCTATAATTTTTTTTACAGCAATTTAAAAAACATAACAAAGCTCAAGAAACCTCCCGATTCTCTTGTGTCTTAAGTACAGGATGCAATATGCTGGCTTTTCTTCCACATCCACAAAGAAAATTATAAAAGAGAATAAGGACTTTATATAAATAATGTTTTACTTGTTATTAAGTATGTGAACAAGCATTACAATTAGTACTAACAACCAGAACATATCTTGATGTAACCAGTACATATACTCTTAAAGATTGACAAACATGAAAAAATAAAAGCCACAAGTGGTTTATGAAAGCCATAAGCACCTTGTTGTAGAAAGAGCACCAAGCAACACAAATAGGCAACACGTAAGAGGTAGTGTACCACTGGCTAAGATGTACATGCCCACTGGGGACCTGAATACAACTTAGTATTTGGGAAAAAAGACATTAGATTGTGGCTTGTAATTTTTTAGACAGAAGCATTGCACATTTTGGAGCATTAACCAGTATTGCTTCACAGTGCTCTGCGTCTCCAGCTGTCTAATGGGTCT